CCCAGCAGCCTGCGCGGCCCTTGGTAACCCGGGTGACGACCGACCTACTATAATTTTTGATGACAGAAATAGCATGAGTGATAGGTGGCGAACTTTTATGGAGACTTCACCACGTTTTCTAACACCTTTTTTCTCAACCGGGCTTGGGACCGACAACGCCGGAGTTAAGTTATGTCAGATTTGTAGGCGAATATCTTTATTAGCATACTTGGTTAGTAAGACATCTTTTATTGTTTTAGAAAGGTTTAATGAGGGGCCACTGTAATGAACAGGTGTGCTGAAATGCACTAGAGCCAAGGTCTGCTTAAATGCTCCTTCCGTGTAATTAGGATCCAAGGGGCAGTGCTGTACTGTATGAATTCCATTCGTTACAAGAGCTGAGCTTTAGATGCAAGACGCTACCTGCTGTCCTGCAAAATTACGCACCATTATTAATTTCGTAAAATTGTAAATATTAATTGCTGCGTTTCTTAGTGATAACAGGCACATGGCAAAAAGTGACATATAGTAAATACGACATATGGAAGCGCGCATATGCATATGAGATATGCCCGGCAAGGTCGAACAGACGCTGGCTGTACTTTCATTACAGCGACGTATGCTGGTGGGGTCTCAGCTCATGTAACGTATTCGTACGTTTCATTTATTCATGTTCTCAACCGTTTGATTAATTTGTCCTAGACTGATGTACTCAAACGTAAAATTTTTCGATTTCCCTCAGAAACCATGTGCTCTTCCGACTTCTCCACTGAATAATACAACGCTACTAACGGCTGGCGTCGTTCAGAAGACAATTTTTAAGTTGCAACTATCATCAAAATCCAAATTTTCTTTTGCAGGGTCCTTTCGTTCATATCGCCGTTATCATCGCCACTTTGCTGAACAAGGCTAAGACGAAAGATGAGGTAATTGATGTGGCAAAGTTACCAGACTCATGAAATTTTTGGTTGAGGCCCAGGTTCCTTACAACCAGATGCTTGCCGCAGCTTGTGCCGTTGGAATCGCGAGCACTTACGAATCCCCGGTCGGAGGTAAATTTTTAATGTGATCATCTCGTGACTAAATAAACATGTTATACCAGCGACAGTTCTAACGTTATGAATTTTAGTACAGTAGTACCTTGACTTACGAGTTTAATTCGTTCTGTAACGGAGCTCGTAACTCAATTTTCTCGTGTATCAAATCAGATTTCTCCTTTGAAATTAACTGAAATGCTATTAATTGGTTCCAGCCCCCCTTCAAAAAAAACACCAATTTTTTACTTGTTTTTAAATATGAAAAATGTACTGTTTAAATAACAAATAATGTATAAAATTAATAATGCATAATAAGAGAGAATTAAAGAAGTAAACTGGATTCATTTAGCGTATTTATCTTCAAGATCAGACGAAGTTGCTGGAGAAGGTGGACGAGTTTGGCGGAGGAGGTCGGGGAGATTTTCATTTCGTGCTTTATCGCTTAACTTACCTTACTTCCTGCACACTTAATGCTACGATTTATACTCTCTATCGACTCCTTCTGTTTCAAACTCGTACATATCGTAGAAGTTCTACGATAGTACTGCCTTTCAAGTCGATAGCACGTGCACCTCGCTCATGTTTTTCGATGATTTCTTGCTTTATACCCAAGTACATCATCTCTTTTTTCTTTTCAGCACTGATCTTGGGATTCACATTCTTAGAACCCACGATTAAAATTAAAAGATTTTTCAAAATAAACAAAATGCGAAAACAAAGCAACAGCAATACAATCGAGATACTCGCACGACAAGATAACCACGTGAACTGAACGCTCGCTATGGCTGGTGGCGTAAAGCTTGCTCGCTACCTCGTAACTCGTGACTCAGATTTCGGCTCGTATCATAAAGCAAAAAGTCGACCGAGCGACGGCTCGTATCTCGGAAAACTCAGAGGTCGAGGTTTCACTGTATTCGCAACAGCCATCAAGTGCGATGAAAGTCAGCGCTTATTTTAAATCAGATTTTGTGGTCGTTTTTAGAATATCTATTCTAGACGATGTTGACTGTTGAGCATCACTAAGATTTGGTCTTGTGAAAGGTGTATAATTTGTACGTGGCTTATTTAAATTGTTTACCTAAATGGAAGGCAGACTGACTCAGTAAGGGCCAAATTATCTGTCAGTTAGTTTCTCTGTGTTTTATAACTCATAATGATTTGCTAACTACATAATGTAGGGGCGTTGTAACTTTCACTCTTAGCATGGAGCAATAGTTCTGTTTGATATCAAGTGAAAAGTCTGTCTTTTCAGAATGGCAAATAATGAGGATCCACTGTCAGTATTAGAATGATAACGATAGCCTTATGCCGAGCTCACGTTCATTTTCATTGAAAACCATTTTGAATGTAGTTTGCATAATAAGTCGTGTAATAAAATAAACTTATGGTTTTGTTTAAAGAATTTCTGTTAACAACCAGGAAACTTACCTGATTGAAGCTATCGTAACATTTTGCTAATTTGTTTGTTCCTGTTTAATTTTTTGTATTTTACATTTCAAATTTTCCGTACCATTTTGTAGGTGTATTGTGTAGCATCGAAATCATTGGGTCCTCTTTTCCGATTGAAGAGTACTGGCGAGGGTTCATGGCAACTGCTGTCAGTACTTTGACGTACAGAATTTTAACAGCGCTAATTGGTGATGAAAGTAGAGGTAATTTTCCGTCTAAGTTTAATATGAATTCAAAGTAAACGTCACCTTGCTTTAGGCTTCGTAATGGACATTAGCCAGAACAGTTTTTCGATCGAATTTCCATACAGCTGGAAAGAATTTTTGGCCGTTGCACTGCTTGGGTACATTTGGGTATTTTGGCAGTTAAAAAAACATATCCGTAATAATTGAAATATTCAAGTTTGTTTAAGTACATCCCATTACCTTTGGTCATGAGTGCTCCATATTAAGCGAAGGAGTGCAGTCACGAATACAAGTGACAGACATGAGGTTCCTTCAAAGGATTGCTGATATGATAAAACTTGACAAGGCTCGGAGCATGACTGTTTTGATACTCTCGTTTGTGAGCCAATCCTTCTCCAATTAACAGACCTTAATGGCGATGCTATAAACACGTGATCAGATGTCACCGAGAAACTCACCAGACGACTTCTTTTGGCAAAGTAACGGGTAGAGCTTTCCAGGAGCAACCACCCGCGGACCATATGACTGATTTATGCAAAAGACCTGGCATCGTTACGCCTTGGGATCCAGAATAATTAGCCTACCTGTTCTTCGTTGGACCGTTACCGTTGAATAAACCTCCTGAAGCTATTGTCCCCGTCACCTGAAAAGAACAGCGAGCATTGTGAAGTAATTGTCGCAACCAAGCAAGCGGGTTTACTGGTTTGATGGTCCATCCAATGCAGCAGACCCTAAAATATGTCTGCATGTGAGGATGAGATGAACCGCTGGCCGATCGTGCAAGTTCACCCTCCATTCCTAAACACTTTACAAACACTGTACAGTGAAAGTTATCATGACAGTGGAGGAGAACGGACTTTGCTCTTTCATACATATTTTTCGATAATCACCACGACGACCAGCAACACGTCTCTCATTTGGCGCTATCACAGCCAAAAGGAACATACTTTTAGCTTGATATGTACGATTTGCTGCTGAGTGATTGAATGATAATTCAACTGCTACTTCTCAATCGGTGGGGGAGGGAGGCACAAATATAGTGCTAAAGTTGAATGCAACGCTGTTTTGATGGCACAGCCGTAATATAAGCAAGCAATTAAATGCTATTGCATAACTAATAAGAAGAAGATCTTCAGTTTCCGTAGTGGTTCTGGTCCTCGCTTAGGCAGTTAAATAATCTTGTTAATATTTTTGCATGTTCTGCAGGACGGGGAATACTCAGTTGCTTCCTACGTCTTTACGTCTTTTCAGATGTTAGAGGAATAATTTCTATTACTAATCGATTTAAATGAATTCTCTTTGCACCAAAAATAGAAACACCAGCCTAGTTAAATGAAATCCATTGATCTAATGATTATTCGATGAAGAAAGAACTTTAAATGCGACCCTTCCGGTAAATACACAAATATTCACTGGATTAACAAAATAATTTACTTGCATAAAATTTATTTGATTTCTGATATTTAATCGTTTGAATGAATTTCGAACTTTTTAATTGTCCTCCACCTTTGATAAAAAAATGCTGAGTTCAACTAGTAGCCAGCACAAGATTTTGAAGAGCTTGAAGAATGAATGTCTTTGATAATTTCTGACTTACCTTGGGATTGCGAAAATTAGAAAAAAAGCCTCAGAAGCCTTTGACAACACAGGAGTGAATTAGAACTGTCAGTCAACCATTACGGATAGAATAACCGGTATGGCGAATTAATGTCTGACAGAGGTGAGATGCAGTCCATCTGCAAGAACTTTTCCATTCAGATCATTGCCTCAAGAACGGTATACTTCCGCACTATCACTTCAACCGCCACAAGTAAGTGCGTTTCCGGTCCTCATAAACGAAGATACGCATGCCACACAGCCCGAAAAGGGACAGTCTGCCGACTGAAATAATGAAAGCATGTAGTCAGACGCTGGGGAGAGCGCTCTAGCGAGAGGCTCGATTGTTGCCTGGAAACAGGAAATAATACCATCTAGCTAGAGGGAGTCAAAAACAGTCATGCTGTTCGAGAAGAACGAGAAGGAAGATCCGAAGAACCGTCGCCAATTCTGCTTGCTCTCACAAATCTACAAGCCGATGACCAAGATTATCACTAAGTGACTGTCAGAAAAAGTCTGGACGCACAGCAGCCAATGGAACAGACGGAATTACGAAGGAGCTACAATACAATGGAAAAACTTACATTAAATCAACTCCTCGAGCATCGCCTTCATTGACTACGATAAAACGTTCGATACTGGAATTCAACACAGTGTAAACTACCCTGACAGGACGACAGGACAGGGCGTTAACACGCGTTATATCAACCTACTAAAGGAAGCGAGCTTTGGCTGTTTTACGACCATAACACACTTCGTAATGCACACCGGATTCCCGTAGAGTAGGACCTGAAACAAGGGCCACCATCTCCCCCAAACTCTTCAATGCTCCTTTGGAAATGGTGTTCCAGAGGATAGGCTGGAAGAATGGACTGGTATTACTGGTGGCCAGCTCAGCTGGCTAAGATTCAGTGATGATGTGGCGTTGCATACAGGAAAAGTGCTAAGTTGAACTGCGAATCAATCGGTC